CTTTCACACTATTTGGACATCACCCCCAGTTTGGCTGGAAAATATTGGACATACATTGTCTCTGAGTTTTCTTTTACTACTGTGCCCTACTGGAGATTTGCATGCGTGAATAACTAACCTTTTTTTCACCAATTCTTTTTAAAATTTTTATCATCGGAAGTTTCTGTTACCGTTAGTTAGCTCATGAATTTTTAATTAAGATTCTTCAGTTGCCGCTCTTCTTAATTAGATGCAACATTACAGTCAGTTGTAACAGTGGAAGGGGAAAATAATGTGAAACAGAAGGAGAGGAAAAATTCTAACATAGAACTGAAGGTGGAAAAATTGTGATGTACATCCATGCTTTCTGTTTAAGTGGCAGTTTTTGCGTCTTCCCAAGCACAGCAAAAGTTATTGCTTCACCAAGTCAATGTGATGATTCAAACAAAACAAGTCTATCTCTGATTGGATTCTTTTATTTAAATTTACTTCTAATTTTATTCAATGTTTATCCCCTGTCTCCGTTTGTAAGTGTAGTACCAATCTAACAGGCAACGAGGTTTGATAGTTTTTTGTAGACAAGGGCTCATCCTCTCTTGAACGACTTAATCATGCGCACTTCTGATACAAATCCTTCTGTTAAGATTAGTTCATAAGGAAAAAAAATGCTTTTAATGTTCTGGTCTTTTTACGTGTAGCAACTACGTTTTTTTAAATACGTGAAACTGCCCTCTTAAGACGATAATAGTGGAATCCTATATTGTTTCCACATGCCCTTTCAACTAAAATCAGGCTTCTTATTTTATGGCTATTAATATTTATAAAAAAACTTGATCATTAATGCAACTCATTGTTGCAATTCAAGACTTTTCATTCGCTTAGCTATCATGGTTTATGATTAACGACACAATTATTCCGTTCGCGCTTGTTGGATATGAAATGATAATTGCCATCTATCGTCTCATATCCAACACGCACTCATGGAACAGTTGTTCAATATATACTACATATTTACTTGGTATAACTAAAGATTCAACGAAACTTTACGGGCTGGTTCAAGAATTTAACGTTAGATTTCAGATTAAATGTCATCATTTTTTCATGTGAATCTCTGCTCAGTATTCCCTCCGCTGCAGTTCTAAAAACTTCGTAAAGGACGTACTTCTCTGTACACAATGAATTACGGGGAAATATTTACACTTCAAGGAGATAAAAGGCTGAAAAACATGACACAGTTAAAGATCGGATTCGAACAACGGATGAAATAATGATTGTAGTAATTTGTGGACTTTCACTGCGCAATTATCAGTACAAATTTTTCAATAGCACACTACAAATTCACGTTTAAACAAAACCTAATTATTTAGGCTAAAGCTGAAAAAAATTATCAAAAAATGACAAGATATGAAATATAGAAACGTGAAATATTTATATACTTAGGAAAAGGCGCGTACCTGGAATCAAGAAAACTCTTGAGTAACGTATTTTTTATCACTTCCGCGTCTTGGCATATGCAGAATTAGACATTCAAAACAAAAGGTCATGATGACCATTAGCTACTAGGAAATTATTGTCAAAGAGCAATTGAAATTAACCAAAAGTATAAACATCTCTGCCGCGCATTAAAGCTGAATGTTTTAATTTCAATAAATTGTACCGGTTAAAGGCTCTGAAGTCAAAAGATACTTAGTATCACGGACATTTTTCATCAAATCCAGATCCATTATTTGCAGATTTTATTATTGATAAATGTTGCCCCAGATTCTCTGCTGAATCGACCAAAAGGCTGACATGAATTAAAAAATTTTTTCATCCACTAAACATTGCATTAAAATTAATGAATACACGACAGTAAAAAGCTAATGAACTGAAGAAACCTTTCTTTTTCTCGTGCCTAATGTTGGCCGGTAGGTTCTGCGGCAATCGAGTGAGTATTTTTTGGTACCAATATCTTTTTTAATTCGGCTTTTAATGCGCGGTTCATAAAACCATAAATTAAAGAATTTACACAGTAGACGTGAACACTGAAAGTGTCACCAGAAGTTCAAGCTGGCGGGGAATTAATGCTAGAATTGACACGATAAACATGGCGTGCGCAGGTAACCAAAGAATTGTAAAGCCCACGATGGTTACAAGCAAATTTTTGCTGATGTTAACATGCTCCACATCTTTATATTAGAATGTTAAAGAATTAACTATACCTAATTATTAAAGCTTAGAATTAGAAAATGATATATTAAAACTTGGGTAGCTAAGAAATATTGAGCATGAAAGATACATATATCTAGAAAAGGAGCACACTTGCATTCAACTAAACTATTAATTTTTTTTCACTTCTATCTGTTACCATAAGCATAATTAGACAAACAAAACAATAAGTGATGAGGGCCGTTAGCAAATATAATAATGTTAAAAGCCGATTGAAATGAACCTTAAAGTGTAAACGTTTCTGTCGCACAGTAAAGCTGATTTTTCATTTTCTCACATTATGCTGGTTGAAAACAACAAAATAAAGATCTTAAGTTGAAAAATTATTATCAAGTATTAGGTATATTAGGTATAAGTATATTGGGACCATTATTTTATCTTGCTTGATTTTTCCTTAAATCTATATGCATTATCTACACATTTTATGACTGATAAATGTTTTCTCACAGTTGAATCAACTAAAAAGATACATGAATTTACAATTTTTTTCATCATGAAACCACGAAAATAACAAAAACGTAATGCATGAAATAGAAAGAGAAATTTAAGGGCTTTTTTTTCCTTCCTAATGTGTATTTCTTAGTGCCAATATCTTTTTGAATTCGTCTTTGAATGCGCGGTTCATAAAACCATAGATGAAAGGATTTACACAACTGGACGTGAACACTAAAAGTGTCGCAAGAATTTCCAGCTGGCGGGGAATTGATATTAAAATTGACACGATAAACATGGTGTGAGCAGGTACCCAAAGAATTGCAAATCCTACGACAGTTATAAACAAGGTTTTGCTGATGTTAACATGCTCCACATTGGCACTCTTCCATGATACACTTGCACTGTGCATCTTCACAACTCGGTAAATTTTCCAGTAACAGAACCCAATAACGATGTAAGGAAGATATAATAAAAGCATATAGACTGGCAGAGCTAAAGGACTTAATTCTATGACGCAGGTGGCGAAGTTCAGGACTGGTTTCACGCCGAAATCGGCGGCGAACACCCCAAGGAGAAATAATATGAAGGGTAGCACCCACGCAACAGATGCTGAGGCAAGGATGAACTTCTTGGTAAAAAGACTTGGGTATTTGGCTGGCTTCACTATCTTGTAATATCTGTTCAAAGCCATCAGACTCATGGTGAACGTTGAGACTTTTGACAGGGATATTTTAGTGATGGCTACAAAATGACACAGATGCGGTTCAAACGGCCATTTCCCAGTGGCTAATAAACCAACAGATAACGGCATGATGAACAGAGCTTGGAAAATATCGGTCAGGGCCAAGGAAATAATGTAGTAGTTGCTCGGACGACGAAGGTTTGGGCTTCTACGTACAGCATAGCAGACCATAAAGTTTCCAAGAAGCGAAAGGACCATCACCAAGGCGAATACAACTGTTTCAAAGACGATGGTTGGTGTGTTTCGCTCATCCACCTCCATTTGTAAAGTTCAAAAGCCTTTCAATATGCTCTGCCCGATTGGCGGTTTTCCAAACAGCTAACGACTGTTGCGGGTAACAAACCGTTGCTGTTCTTGCCAATGTGAAACGCAGTAACAGTAAGCCGTAAAAAGATAGATAATGAAGAACGGCCTGCATCTGATAAGGAGTATTAGGAAGTCTTTTGTCTGCTCGAGAAATCCCGCAATCGTGACTAAGAGAAATCTATTCACAGAGGCTTCTCACGAAATTTCGCGACCCACGTCATCCACCTAACATCAATCAAAGGAAATTCCACCTCGTCACCTTTCATTTTATAATGCTTCCTGTTTCTGTTCCAATTTCGATGTATTCCTCCAATATTAGCAATCTTGTCGGTCACTCCAAAGTGGCATTTTTGAATTGTTATTCAATCAATATGCCTCGACAACGGCTTTCACTTGAGATGTTAAAGTACTTCGAGATGCTAATCCAGAGGTCCCATTTGGTGCGGCCGCTCTAATTTCGCAAATAGCACCTTTTCTTCGTCATCATTGTGTTGCGACAACGACAGCCATGACCAGGATATTTTAGATATTGGCTCCTCATAACATTTCTGCGACTATCACTTTCTGTTATATGTAAGATATTGGTATTGGTGACAGGATCTATTGTTCACTTGGTAAATGAAGAGGATGAAATGTTAACAAGGTTGCTGTCTATCAAATTTATTCTTGGCACGTACTGCACAAACTGCCGCCTCCAACGTACGATCTAAGAAGACTTATTTACATTAAGAATAAATTTATATGTACTCATTTCTACCCACACCTAAATGCAAAAGCTGAAATTAGAAAAGAAAAAAAATCTAGCTACATGGGAAATTATGAGCCCGTAGAAAACTTTTTCACCGTCTTAGAAAGTCCTAAAAGAGCTAATTTTTTGAAAATTGATTTAATTTCACCGAAAGTGATTAAGGATCACCTGCTTTCCTAATTCCTTTTTTCTTTTAGTGATCACGCCAGTGATGAGGGATTAGCGCTTTTCCAGGGAGAATTAGAATAGCTCGATGAATTCAGTCTCATTTGACTTTTTTGTCTTTCTGCTTTTTCCTATAACAACATTGTTGAAATCAGTTGTTTTATGAAAGGAATATCTGGATATCTGGATATCTGAATATCTGGAATATCTGAATATCTGGAATATCTGAATATCTGGATACTAGAGTTTAAATATCGAAATAGCTAATAACGTGATCGAATCTTGAGTAGTTCAGTCTGACTTCCGATTATTAGCCACCGGATCTCATAGCTTAGCGCCTTGAGACCACAGTGCACTTATAGAAAGAGTGCCATCTGAACATCAACAAACGCTTCATTTACAAGAGATTTTGATCTTTGAAAACAGCACCTACACTTTGAGATTGTTTTGTAATTGCTTACATTTAGGTTCATACTACACTGTAAGTTTTGGTTTTTCTGTAATGGTCTTCGTCTAACTCTATATTTCTTTCCAAGATAATAGAGTGAATTTGTAGAGCCAGTTTATCACCAAATGCTAATTAATGAGAAGAGAAATTAAGGACGGCTGTGCACCTTTATTTAAACACGTATCGACTGCGGAGTTCCCAAACAATCAAAGCTTCTTTGGATGGCGATCATTTGCGGTATTCTCACGATCTCAATTAACGCGGATTCATCTGTATTACTAAAAGGGGAAATTACAGGCTGGTAACCCTTGGGGTTTGAAAGACTTAGCTGGTTTATATAAACTTGGAGCCGAATGCAACAGATGTCAACAAAGACTGGCACCTTACTAAAACCAAAAAACTTGCTCGCAAGTCGACTTTCTCTTTCGGCGAGTGAACAAGCGAAGCGCCGAGGACTACACCAACATCTGTACAAAAAACAGCGAAGTATAACGAAACTCTCATGGCATTGACATAACCGAGGAACCAAGGGGACCAACCTAGCATGAACGACAAACTCATACTGACGAATCACTACTATCCAAAGATACTTAAGTCTTCCAGCTGACTACATCATATAGCGAGCCTGACCACTCAGTTTTTACGAACCTAACATATAAACAACTCCTCACTTGACTCTGAGGACGATTTCTGCTCAGGTTGTCGAAACTTCTGTTACTGACAACAATCTCTGTTTGGACTACCCTACCCCAGCCCAAAAAATCACACCACGTAATCATATCCAATAGACTTGTAATCTGGAATCCCGATACTTTAAACGTTTTTCTATTCCCAGTCATCACGTGATGTATTTCCGTTTAATATTATAGCGGCGCTTGTCCACCGTTAGGTAGACCGCACAAAATCCACTGATAAAATACAACGTACCGCACCAAACTTCTTTGGGAACGCCTCCTTCTTAATATTGTATTATACCGTAAAACCAAAAATTGCTCTAAGAAATTAGGGACACGTAAATAGATTAAGAAATGTTTCAGGTAAATCAAACTTACATTATTGCCGGATCTGGCAAGAGTTGATATCGATTGAACTTCTCCTTCCTTTCCTTTACTAATTTCTTTCCTTACGAGCACGAGTGCTTACCAAAAACTGATCAGAGGGCCTTTTATCAAATATATTGAATTATACTTAAGAGCGCGTGACGAGCCACCCAGTGTGACTTTAAAGATTATTAACCAAATCAAACAATGAACAAAAACTCGTGCTATACGGGCACTTACAAATATAACATGGCGAAACACCTAGACTAAGGCCTTCCCAGTCAGTTTCATGTGTCCCGCGGATGAAAGAAAGGATCTATGTCAGTGTCTGAGTAAACAACTGCGCACCTACCCATCCCCTGACGCAAAATTAACCCGAACTTGTTATCACTTCACTGTTGCTGGATTAGGGGAGAGGGGTAGGTGTACAGTTGTTTAGATACTGACAGTGGTTCGAAAAGAAAAAATACGGGAAAAAGGAAGTTGCTATTCAAACCACATTGATACGGTAAATGCGAAGAAAAAGGAAACTTATTATTCCCAATTCTATTCGCTTGTTGGACAATTTTTAAATTCTCGGTTTAATATTTACAATTTGGTTTTATATCTTTACCTTTGTAATGTTAACTACTGGTGAAATATTACTTTTGTGCACTCAAGAATTCAAAATCAATATAAAAACTTATCGTAGTATTTGACAAACAAATTTTGTTTGTTTTTTTACATTTTATTATTTTGGACATGAAAATGACAGACGTTTTCTTTATTTTTAATTTCCTTCCTAAACATTTGCATACGATAGAGTTTTAAAGCTAAGTGTTTTTCAAATTTACATGCAAAAATACGTTGTTCAAAGCTTTAATCGCCCGTCAAAACAATTTGGAAGTGTAAAAAAGTCGCCATTTAATTCACATTTCATCCTAAGTGATAACGTTGCCATGCTTCTATTTTTCAGCTCCTCATTCTTACTTTCAACCGCGGCAATGGCCAAAGGTCTTGAATCAGTTATTTCAAAGGCAAATCCATGAGGAAATCACGATTGATTCAAATAATCGCCGACTTAAGTCTCCCTTTTGCTCCTCAAAAAAAAGTCCATTTCCTGTTGCAATAAACTCGAAGAGGTGCCTTAAGGGTCATTTCACATATTGAATAAATCAGTTCAGCCCACATACAAGAGAAACACCAAATGAAGGTTGAAAGAAACCTCTAGATTACCACCGTCCTGTGCACGGGCCAGACGATAAACCACGCGCGGTTTAGAGCCATGTTTTTACCAAGTTACAGACACAAAGAAAATGAATTTTTTTCAAGCATATTTGCGTCACATTCATATTATCCAAGCCGCATGGGCTCATTGTATTTTTAAAACAAAAATAAAACAATCGAATGATTAAATTCGACTTTAGTCTGAAGCCGATTGCCCTGTTCTATTGTACCTCTTCCTTGTAGAGGATTTATATTTTTTGGTAGAGGAGACAAGATTATAATTTAGTGTTACTTTCGACCTGAAGACAGTTGTTAAACAGAGCGTATATGCAGATTTCCTTCTCTCCGACCACCAAAAACACCTTGTGCTATAACAAAAGAGACAACCATTATTAACGTAAAGCTTCTAATTCTATGAAATTCATTAACATAGACGTTTCACTTTTTGTTTTAATTTTTTTTTTCTGTAGAATATTTGAGTTCAATTACCTTCAATTTTTTATACCATAACATAAGAAGTTGTCATCCAGCCCCTGAGTCAGAAATGTTCGGTTACTTCAAGTTTAGCGAGCAGACGCATATTTCTTTGCTACCGTTCAATGTCTGCTCGACTTCTGAGTACAATTCGTTTGTCTTAAATTGAACCACGACCCACCATTTTGAAACGGAAAGGCAGCTGTTTGAATATATCGCTCTTAGGCTCCTTTATCTGCTGCAAGTTCTTTGAAATATCCGGCAATTGCTCTGTTTGTCAGTTAACGAGAGTTTGGAATCCATCCAGGTATACCTCTGCCTCTGTATCTACAAACACGTACTTTTTAAACGGAAATATAATCGACTGAGTAACAGAGCTGCCTGTCAACGATTCCTGTTTCACAATTTAGTTTTTCCCCAGGTAGGCGCTACAAGGCGTCCCATTCTTCTGCTTGCCGGCTGTTTACAATATTGGCCCTGGTAGCTGAAGAATGACTCTGTGGCTCCACTCCGAACCTTTTCTTACAAATGTATAACAAAATGGCGGAAAGAAGAAAAATACTGAGTCCTATTAACCCCAAAATGGCAGGAACGTTCATGATTCTCGTAAAAAGATAGTCTTTATCTGATCACACAGAGCACAAATTTGTCCAGGGCTGACTGTATTGTTCCCGTTTTGTATATAAGTTTAAACTTGCCTTGACCAAGGCCTATTGTGAAGCGCTTTGGATCCTGATTTAAACAAGCTGTTTTCCTTTCAGTGTGAAATGCGGGTGATAAATGATGAACAACCTTGGAGGTTTGTCACCAGATGAGAAAAAACTCGATTGAAAATACATCGCGCAATTGCTTCGAAATGTTTAAAAAGACACTGCTTCTCATTGTTATTCACGACGCGAATTCGAAGAAATTAATTTTTCTTGGTCCGTGTCATTGTCGCGTCTGTCGCAACGAACGAACAAAAATGCAAATTTATGTATGATAGGAAAGCTGCATAGTTTTGTGAACCGTGGTGATTATTAAAATTACTAATGTGGTACTTGGTTCATTCTCACAATAAACAAGTTGACAGCATTTTACTGAGGGCTACGACGTTTTCTTAAATAATTCCTGTTGTTGCAAATGACATAGTTGTCCCCCTGCAATTCATTAAATGAAAAGATAAATAATTGTTCGCTTTCAAAAAGGATCTACCACCAAGCTAAGGTTGCTTTTCAAATTCAGAATCTTAAATTGTTTTTCGTTTTTTTTTTTCATATTCAAAGATGTCTAAACATGACAGAAGCGCTTAATTCGTTTACTTGAGTATGTATAATATCGATCGTTTCATATAAATCATTTACAATGCTATACTCATTAAAATAAAAAATTTTGTTTTGTCCATCAAACTACAACTTTATGAATGTTTAAATGATATTTCTTAGAGATTGACCAAGTTTCTTTTCACATATTCACTAACTTATTTACTTCTTGATAAAAATCAATTCGTT